CTACTGGAGAGACCAAACTGGCCTACAAGAAAGACCAAATGAAGAACAGAATAGAGGCATGGGAAGACAAAGCACTACATGGCCAATACATTAAAAAAATAGCTGGGAAAGCAGATAATAATAAAACCTGGCAATGGCTAAGAGCAGGAAAATTGAAGAAAGAGACCGAGGGACTAATTCTGGCTGCACAAGACCAAGCCTTAAGGACAAATGCATACAAAGTCAAAATTGAGAAGACAGCAACAGACAGTAAGTGCCGCCTATGCAAAGAAGCTGAAGAAACAGTGGACCACTTGGTAAGCTGTTGCAAGAAGATTGCACAGACTGATTACAAGCAGCGGCATGACAAAGTAGCAACAATGGTGCATTGGAAGATCTGCAAAAAATATCATTTGCCTGTAAGCAAAAACTGGTGGGATCATAAAATAGAGAAAGTCATAGAAAATGATAAAATTAAACTGCTCTGGGACTTCAGAATTCAAACAGACAAGCACCTGCAACATAACACCCCAGACTTAACAATTGTCGATAAGAAAGACAAAAAAGTCTGGATAGTGGACGTGGCAGTGCCTGGAGACAGCAGAATAGAAGAGAAAGAACTGGAGAAGATAACAAAATACAAAGACCTACAAATAGAAATAGAAAGACTGTGGCAAAAGCAAGCAAGGGTAGTACCAATAGTCATAGGCTCCTTGGGTGCAATCCCAAAACAACTGGAGCACCACTTGAACACCATTGGCATTGACAAATTCGCTATTAGTCAATTGCAAAAGGCGGCCTTATTAGGAACTGCTTCCATCCTGCGACGATATCTGTAATACCATCAAACATCCACATCTGCCTATCCCAGGTCCTGGGTAAGGACTCGATAGGTAGACAAAATGCCAAATCCAGTCTGAACATCTGGCTGACTGTGCGATGATCGATAATAATAGTAGTAGTAGTAGTAGTAGTAATAGTAATAATAATCCCAAATCAACCAAATCAAAACTATGAAGCAGAATTGGTTGAACTAAATATTTGCATCAGACAGAAGCATAAAACGTTTTCCTTAATATTATCATTTACATTTCTGAGGAATTGGTGGGCAGCAAATACTTTTCCAGATTGTTGGGTGATCCTTCAAAGCAAACAAAACTCCAACAAAACTAAAACTGTTTTTTTAAAAACCGGAAGTAGATTATGATATAGAAAAAAAAATCAAAAGATTGAGCGCTGGATGAGTTTAAGGCTGGGACATTTCTAAGAACAGCAGATTAGGAAAACCCGAGCGTGCTATAGCTCCAATTGTTGCTGCCTAGCGACACCTAGTGTTCTTTCTCATTATGACAAATTTCACCGTGAGAAATTAATAATTAGCAAAAAAAAAAAAAGGAATGTGAACCAGATATATAGAGAATATCGGAGTAAAATCACACGAATATGATTTTGTTTTGTTCCTTTAAGTGTTTGATGATAGGTTTCCAGTTCTAGCTGAATCGACTACTGCAGGTTTCTGTCTTCATAAAGCTGGCTGTGGAATTCTGGGAGTTGAAGTCCTAATAACTAACCTCTATCTATATCATTGAAGTTACATCTCATTAGTTCTAGTCTTACCCTCTAAGCAAGTGAGGAAAAAGTCCAAAATGCTTTTCAGTGTGGCAGATCTTCCAATATGTGGAGATAACATTCTCTTAAGCCTCTCTTCTGCAAGTAAAACATTTTAGGTCTTTGAACTGTTCCTTATATAGGAACTTTCACCATCTCGGTTGTCCTTCTCTGGCTCTTTTAACCAGAGTATGGAGAATTGAATGCAGTACTTCAAAACGAGGCCTGATCAAGGCAGAGTAGAAAAGGATTGTTACTTCCCTTTATCTGTACTCTAAGCTCCTCTTGATGCTCTTCAAGATATTCTTTGTAATTGCAATACGCTGTTGAGGGCCAATCTTTCTTCTCTAATTCAATAATTCACCCTGGGCCATCCAACATAGTAAGATTTTAACCATTCCTTTTAACTGACGTGCGGGCTTGAGAGACCCTGAAAATCCGTTCTGATTCTGTCTGATTATTTGGATCTTGTTTTCAGCATCACTTTTTTTTTTTTTAAGTGCTGCTTTCATTCCACTAACCATGTGTTTGGCTATACACAAGGCAGTTTTGTAGTGAAAGGAGTATCAGAAACTACCCATCATTTCAGGAATGTATAACTCTTTTCTAAGCAAAAAGTTGTTTTTGGGGTGATTTGCTAGTGATCATATTGCCCAAAAAGAGCCAGATCCAAGAAGAAAAAAAGGGGGATAAGGTCAGTTAAAAATGATATTTGGTTTTCTGTATATGCTTATTCACTTTGAGGGGTACTGATTCCCATTCAATTTGAAGACAAAAGAGCTCAAAAAGAGTTGGCCATTTACCCCAGGACAAGAAATGGATCTGCATGCAGGTTAAAATTTTCCACCCTATGTTAAGATGCACTTGCATTTTTATATAAGTTAGAATAAGGTGACCAACCATCCTCCTTTAGGGAGGACAGTCCTCCTTTTGTAAGTTCTGTCCTCCCTCGAAAAGTGTCCTCCTACATGTCCTCCTTTTCGATATTTGAAGACTAATCTGCAGGGCTTTTTTTTCCCTCATAGAACGCTCAGAACAGCGTTCCGGCACCTTTTTTTCATGGTTTATTTTCAACTTTTGCATGAGCTGTGCTACTCCCACTATTGCAGTGGTTCTCAACCTTTTTAATGCCGTGATCCCCAATCGGTCGTAAGTCGAGGACTACTCAATTGGTGCAGCACCATTTGCAGAATGGGACTTTTGGTGGGCTCAGCAGGGCAGAGACAGCCTGGACAATTTGGGGTCGAACGACCATTTCACGGAGATCGCCAAACAACACAGTCTGCCATTTTTTCCCCCTTTTCCTTAGCTGTGCTACTCCCTTTTATTCTATTGGCTTTTGAAAGCCAATAGAATAGACTCTCTTGAATAGAATCTAATTCTATTGGCTTTCAAAAGCCAATAGGAATTGTCCAGGCTGTCTCTGCCCTGCTCAGCCCGCCAAAAGTCCCATTCTGCAAATGGTGCTGCACTAGTTGAGTAGTGCTCGACTTACAACCAGTTGAGTAGTCCTCGACTTACGACCGGTTAGGGGTCACGGCATTAAAAAGGTTGAGAACCACTGCCCTAGACCATTTCAGATAAATGGCTGTCCAGTGTCTTCTTAAAAATTTCCAGTGTTGGAGCATTCACAGCTTCTGGAGGCAGGGTGTTCCACTGATTAATTGTTTAACTGTCAGAAAATTTCTCCTTAGTTCTAGGTTGCTTCTCTCTTTGGTTAGTTTCCATCCGTTGCTTCTTGTCCTGCCTTCAGGTGCTTTGGAGAATAGCTTGACTCCCTCTTCTTTGTGGCAGGCCCTGAGATATTGGAACACTGCTATCATGTCACCCTCAGTCCTTCTTTTCATTAAACTAGACATTCCCAGTTCCCAAGGTATCTCAGAAACCATCAAAGTTAAAAAGTGTCAGCACCAGTGGTAGGATTCAGCTGGTTCGCACCACTGTGACAGAACTGGTAACTAATTTTTTGTTGCCCAGGCCCAGAATGGACTTCCAGAAGCGGCATCCACACAGAGAACCAGTTGTTCACATATTTGAATCCCATCACTGGTCAGCACTCTTCCTACCCTGCTCTTTTAAAGTCCAACTTTTGCTTCCACATAGTGTCATAGGGAAGATTATCAGATGCATATATTGTTTTTAGAAATTAGCATTTGCAGTGATCATGCAATCCCCTCCATTGTGCAATCCAATCTCTCTAATCCCTGATTCCTTTCTGGTTGCAGTAACCAGTACTGCAGGCCACTTTAGCTGACTGTGTTCAGCAGGTCAGCGGTTCAAATCTCACCGGCTCAAGGTTGACTCAGCCTTCCATCCTTCCGGGGTAGGTAAAATGAGGACCCAGATTGTTGGGGGCACTGTAAATATATATATATATATATATATATATATATATATATATATATATATATATATATACATTGCTTACTGGTGTACACCGCTCAGAGAGTGCTTGCACTTAAAGCGGTATATAAGTCTCATAAATAAATAAATAAATAAATAAATAAATAAACAAACAAACCAAGAATAAATACCTCCCTCAAATGAACAAGGCAGATGATAGCAAATCTTAATCCAAAGCGGGCAGATTTCCCTCTGAGACCCCCCTTTATATTTAATCCTGAAGGGGGACTGTGATTGCAAGACAGAGCCATGTTTAGTTCCTCCTTCTTTGCAGTTGTCAGAGTTTTTTGGATTATTTGGACACACAGGAAGTTCGGTTTTCATTTGAGCTCAGCTGAACGTAATCCAAAACAATGACTCTGACTCAGCCAGAAGGTCAATAACTCTGTGTACACAAGGAAGTGGTTCGTCCTCCTGGGAAATTGGGCAAAAGAGCTGTTTAAACAATAAATCAGGGCACTTAAACAGAACTGTCTTGCTTCATACCAGGAATCTTCATTGTTTATCATTTAAGATTGAACATATGGTACAAACATCCCAATCTTTCTTTGCATTAATATTTTTCTCCCCAACATCTCGGGATTTGTTTAATGCCTGGGCTATTGGAATACCATTGGAATGATTACATTCTTAATGGCAGCCAGCTCTGTGAGGAACTGCTTTGACCCCGCTAATAAATAATTTGTGCTAAACTGTTGCACTAAAAACAAATGGCTTAAATTTTGCAAAACATCTGCTGGGATAGCAAAACAGAGGAAAGCCCAGGAGAGATTCTAAAGATATGGATGCAGAAGTTACAGCTTTCCAGATGTTGCTGAACTACAAAACTCTTCACGCAATAGCTAGGCGTGAGAGATGCTGGAAACAATAATTAAATCCCTTCTGAAAAGCCACCTTTCCCCTGCCTTTGTTTCTGGATATGTACTGAATCTTTTCCTTTTTCTCTGTCTCAATAATGTCAAAGTAGAAGCACGCTATTCCTGATCCATTGTTGTATGACCAGCCCTTACCATAAACTGAAGGTCTTGTGCAGTTCATACTGAGAGGTTTTCATTTGTTTTCCTGCCACATGTCTTTCTTCCACATTCCTGAGATGCCAGCGACTGTATTCCCATTGGATGGAGCCTTTGGCTGCTGGCTTTAGCATTAAGCAGCGTGATCGGATCACTTTAGGCAAGAGAGACGGAGGAGTGTTATTCCTCCTGACTTTCTCAGTCACCCTCCTCTCTTTGAAAACAGAACTGCACCCCAATTGCAGGCTATTACCCTGCAGTAACAGGGAGGCGGGGTCAAATAAGAACAAACTGATGAGTTGACTTCTTTATGTGTAGGTGGTGCTTGTCCTAAGAACAAAATTGCTTAGATCAGCCCCATAATCTTTCTTCTGAAAAGAAAGCAGCCATGGAATCGTTCTGTGAAGTATAAAGGAACTGTTAAAAAAAATGTCTTTTGGCTCAGGAACATTAAAGCCCTTCATGGCATGGGTACAGTCTATTTGAGGGACCATCTCAGCCCAGTCTTGTTGACAGAGGAGGCATGTCGCAGGTCCCATCAATCCGATTATTCTGGATGGCTAGATCCCGGAGGACGGTGTTCTGTGATGTTACTCCTGCCTTCTAGAACAAGGCTTTTCAACCAGTGGTATAGGTACCACCTGTGGTACATTGGCACCTGGCAGGTGGTACACGACCATCCTCGAAAAGTGGTAGCGGGGGAGGGGAATGAGCTGAACCAGTGGTAGCACCGCACAAGAATGGGCAAGAGATGGCTGGAACTACAGGACTGTCAGGGCTCAGTGGAAGTGCCAGGATCAGCGCCAAGCTCCAGCTGGAGCTCGGCACTGATCCTGGCGCTTCTGCTGAGCCCAGAAGAAGCACCAATGAATTGGAATGTTGCAGCATCTCCAGGGTCTTGTGATTTACATTCAGATGCTTGGCAACTGATTCATATTTATGACAGTCACAGTGTCCCAGGGTCATGTGAAGTGACCAAAACCTGCTGCAACCACCCAGCAAATGGGGGGGGGAATAAAAACCAAACACCCCCCCACCCCACCCCCGCTGCCAATCCTCAACAGAAATGCTCACAACAATGAAAACCTTGGACAGGAGGAAGAGCGCGGCTGGGCGGGCAGGCAGGTGTCTTGCTTGGGGGGCACTTTTTCAGTGCCATTGTAACTTCGAACAGTCACTAAGCAAACTGTTGTAAATTGAGGACGACCTGTACTGCATCACTTTTTTCCTTTCCTTTTTTTTTTTTTTTTGATCATCAAGTTTTTGACACCTTGCTAGGCGACTGGTGGTACTCGGATATTGCCATATCCTAAAAGTGGTACAATGAGTGAAAAGGTTGAAAAGCTCTGTTCTAGAACATCTTGCCCCCCAATGTGAGGTTGGCCACAACCCTCCTATCCTTTTGTAAGGGCCTGAAGACCTGGCTCTGCCAATTAGCCTGTGGCAAAGTCTAGGTGGTTGATCGAGTAACAACAGATCCCACCTCCCTCCACTCAATCCCTGCCCTCTCTACCTGTCATTAGATTTTAATGTTGGTTGGTTTTAATTTATGTATGTTTTTAGTTTATATGTCTATGTACATTTTTATGACTGTAAGCCACCCAAAGTTACTCTGTGGTAAGATGGGTGGATAATAAATTTGATAGATAGATAGATACATAATAGATAGATGATAGATAGATAGATAATAGATAGATAGATAGATAGATAGATAGATAGATAGATAGATAGATACATAATAGATAGATAATAGATAGATAGATAATAGATAGATAGATAGGATAGATAATAGATAGATAGATGATAGATAGATAGATAGATAGATAGATAGATAGATAGATAGATAGATAGATAGATAGATAGATGAGAGAGAGAGAGAGAGAGAAAGAGAGAGACTCCTGAAAGGATGCATAAAAGAACTAACTGACAGCCCTACAAGGTAGACCTGATTGAGAAACCAATACTACTAGGTCAGAACTCCTATACAGCTATGGTAACAGGATCTTACAAGTCTGATTGTGCTTCCCCCCTCTTTCAAGTTACCTCTGTGTGAACTAGGGAGGGGCTTGTTCAAGATATTTCGAATAGAACAGAACAGAATAACTAGAGGTTCTTCTAGTCCAACCCCCTGCTCAGGCAGGAAACCCTACACCATTTCAGACAAATGGTTGTCCAGTCTTTTCTTAAAAACTTCCAGTATTGGAACATTCACAACTTCTGGAGGCAAGTTGTTCCACTGGTTAATTGTTCTAACTTTCAGGACATTACTCCTTAGTTCTAGGTTGCTTCTCTCCTTGATTTGTTTCCATCTGTTGCTTCTTGCTTGCCCTCAGGTGCTTTGGAGAATAGCTTGACTCCCTCTTCTTTATGGCAGCCCCTGAGATAATGGAACGCTGCTATAATGTCACCCCTAGTCCTTCCCCCCCCCCCATTAAACTAGATATACCCAGTTCCAGCAACCGTTCTTTATATGTTCCTCTGGTTAGTTTCTTGGCTCATATTCAAGCCCCATTTGTCTGACCATTGCTTTTTAGCAGGAGTTTCTGTTCTCCTTCAAGACCACTCCTTATATCCTCTTCACCAACCTTCTCTCCTTGATAAATCTTGAAATGTGCTGGCGTTGAATTTCAGCTAGGGATTCTGGAAATCCTAACACACTTTGTTATCTAAAACAAAGTGGGGGATGCCATCTTACTGAATTCCCTCCTGAAGAACAGAGCCGTGTATCAGGGTGACACATTTTCTTACATATGCTACAGGTAGTCCTCAAGACCAATCACTTCACGACAAATTGAAGTTATGACCTATCCTGAAAAAAAGGGACTTAAGAACCTGGATTTGAAGTTCTAATGTTCACCTCAGCCTGTAATCATATGACTGTACTTTTGGTGCTTGGCAACCAACCTGCATTTATGGTTGTTTGCAACCTCACATGACCATAATTTTGTCTTCTTTTTTTCTGGAAACTAGTTTCCAGCAATGAATGGATTCACTTAAGACCAAAAAGGCTTAATGGTTGCTTAATGATCTCCCCTTTTTCTTAACAACTGCTGCAAAATGGATGTAAACTGAGGCCTAATCATGTGGTGATCTGTTTCACAACCATCACGGTGTGGGAAGAATCCAGAGAAAGAAATATTTTGGGAAATATTAAAAAGGCAGAATATATTTCACCAAAGGAATAATGGAGAAGATCTTAAAAAAAGACAGAAACCAACCCCCAGAAATCAGACCCAGCCCCTAGGCAGAGGCCAGCTTTTAGAAATGCAAATTCAATAACCCATTCAGGAAGGTTAGGGCCAGGAAGCTATGAGATTAGGAAGACAAAAACCTCTAAAATCTACATACCCCACCCAAACGCTAAAAGATATGACCTTTGGGGACATAATAGGATTAACCCACCAATACCAAAAGGGCACACTCAGACTCAGGTCAAAGTACATGACACAGGAAATACAAAGCCTCAAACAGGAACAGGAAACAACCTCAAGAGTCCCAGAAGGTATAAAAATCCACCACTCCCAACATGTGGTCGGCTTTCCCAGAGCCCTCTATTGGGCTCTCCTCTTCAATAAACTGCAACCTTCTTTCTAAAGCAGTCTCCATTTTGTTTATTCCCAGCTTGGACTGGACCCTGATGAAGATTTTTCTTTCCACAATGGTTTATGGCTGAAATTGTAGGCTCAGTTGTTAAGGACTACCTATAATTGTTCCTAATTCCACTTCAATGCCTTGTATTTCAATTATACAATGAATTGTGATCCACCTGAGCAAGCAAATAATAAGGAAACACCCCTGACAACTGTCTCCAAGATGCTTTGGTGTGTAATGGTATGTGTCAGCCTATTGTACAGTCTTATGCAATTTACAGAAGGAAAGAAGAGAGATTCGAAAATGAACACAAGGAAATTGTTTTTAGTTACTGGAAAAGTGCTCATTTCCTTTGGAATCCTAAGCCTCATTTCGGGAATTATTGCTTTTTTTCCTGTTTTTTCTTATAAACCAGGGTTTCTTGGATGGAGCATTCGCCTTGCTTCTCCCATCTGGAGTGGATATTTGGTAGGCAGAATTAATAGATGTCTCAGAAAGAATGTTGACACGGGTGTTTATTTAAATGACTGGTTTAGAAGATAACTTGGTATCTAAATTATTAGAAGTTTATTACACCAATGTATTTGGAAATACCTTGGTATTTGAGGCTTCAGTATCGTAGTTCCAGAATGCAGTTTTTCTACACTACTAATATGCAACTGGGCTGATTAATTTCTAGTGAAAATAAACAAATGGGCTGTTTAATTTCTAGTGAAAAAGTTACCCTAAGAACAAAAAGGGCTGTGAAAGCTTTTTTTTTTCCTTTCTAAGCCAAAGATGCATAAATTCTTGGTAAGCTTGGTTGTGGATTTCAGGGACTTCAAAAAGCTGTTACTAAACATAATTTGTAATATGATAGTGGAGAGAAACTATGAAATATAAACCCGAAGAGTAACTTCATTAATCATATTTACTTTTCATAATTATAAACATCAAATGAAATCAATTTCCATTTTTACACTGGCTTTATCAAGCCAATGCTTTTAAAAAGTATAGCTCAGATCAATTGCAGCTTAAAGTCAAGACAAAGTCAGGCACTTCTTTGAGATTGGTGTATGGAGATTGGGTAAATATTTGAAATACTGAAACAAAACCCATTATATGAATACATGTTTTTCATACATAAAATTACTAGTTGAATCAGTGTAAACATCTTTAAAAGAGTGCATAGAATGTGATAGAAAGAGAACAGTGAGAATGTGAAATTGGTCAAGTTCTCAGACAAATGTAACTCACTGTAGCTGCCAAACACATAAAGAACTTTAATTTCTGATCCAGAAACTTTAGTATTTTTGTCATTGAACCCAAGATTGCTTGCAAGTTTGTTTACAAGTAGTCCTTGGTTAACGATGGTAATTGGGACCAGAATTTCCATCGTTAAGCAATGCGGTCATAGTGTGATGTCATGTAACTGCATCACTTAATCCCAGCACTTGCCATTGCTGTTGTTAAGCAAGGATTGTGGTTTGTTAAGTGAGTCCTAGGATGGCTCTCAAGCAGGCAGCAGCAGGCAGGTGAATGGATTCACAAAGTGTACAGGATGGATAGTATGAAGCAATGTGAGGACTTCAGGACTGGGGACTTGGTGGCCGCTGGATGGGGGAAAGTGTGAACAGCTTTTACTGGACAGACCTGCAATTCTTTCCTGCCAACTTTCCCATTGAATTTGCTTGTGGGAAGCCTGCAGAGCAGATCATGTATGGCATTACATGACTGCAAGATGCTGCAATCGTTGTAAGTGTGAGATGGTTGCCAAGCATCCAGATCGCAATCAGGTGACCACAGGAGCGCTGGGACAGCTGGAAACTCAAGGACTGATTGTTCAGCAACACTGTAACTTTGAACGATTGTTGAATGAATGGTCGTTAAATGAGGACTACCTGTATATTTTTTTGCCTGGGCTTCTTAGGGCTGTGTAGATATCTGGGTTCAAAGGACATATGTGAATGGACCTATAATATTAATCAAGAACATTTTAAACCAAATGTGTTTTTTCCCCAAGATTGTACATCAGTTGCTGAAGGTGCAAAAGACAGCTATTTAAGCTCAGGATGGATGGGATGCAGCCTGCTTTAAGATAAGGGATTTCATCATGCAACGAGGGCATTCATGCATTTCTCCAAACACATTTTGTCCTTCAGATCTGATTCTCCACATAGCCCTCTTTTGAAGGATTACATGTTCTAAATAGTCCTATGATTAATCATGTATTTAATGTATTTAAATGTTTCAAAATAGGGGCATTGTACACAATTTAAAAGAGGGCTAATTCCAGCCACTTGGTGTGGAAGGGAGGAAAGATATATGTCATTCAGTTTTTAAATCCAGGTTCAGCCTGTTTCATCCTTTGTACTGCAGGTGAATGGCTCAGAAATCAAGAATCAAGGAGAGTTATTTGTACTACATCAGTCTTAGAAACAAGATCTTAGAGAACATGAACATTTCAGATTTCTTTTTCTTAAAATTTCATCATAGAACAGTGATGGCAAACCTTTTAGAGACTGAGTGCCCAAACTGCAACCCAAAACCCACTTATGCATCGTCGAGTGCCAGGTGGGTGTGGCCCATTGGATGGGTGTGGCCCATTGGGTGGGTGTGGCTGCAGTGGTAACAGCAGACTGGGTGGGACTAAAAAGTTCAATCAATTCCAACTTTGCAAGATCTTTTTTTTTCCTGCGAGAAGTTGAAATTGACTGAACCCCCCCCTTTTTTTTTTGCACATGGCGGAGGCCTAAAGCAAAAAAAGTTTTATAAAACCCAGCTGAAGGCCTAGGACTGGGGGGACGGCACACGTGCCCACAGAGAGGGCTCTGAGTGCCACCTCTGGCACCTGTGCCATAGGTTCGCCACCACTGTCATAGAACCTAGCAAGGATACGCACTTCCAAAAGTGCAAAACAATGTACAGTTTGTAAAGCTAGCAATTTAATTCTTCTGGCTTTCATGGTTATCTAGAAGAGGAATCTTACCTTATTGGCCTGTGATTTTTCTATATATCAGGATCAGATAGGCCACCAAGAACTCTTACATGGCTGTGAAAACCATGTGCGATATTGTTTATTAACAGCAGAGATACTAAAGATTAAGCACGTAGCAGAAGAAACCAAGGTAAAGTCAATACTTTGATAGACATTCACTAGGCTTTATGTATATGCAGACCAAGAGTAGTACACCATAGGATGCTCGTGCAAAATATTTTGACTCTGCCTTTTGTAGTCTTATAAAATTTAGCATCTATAGTAGGGGATTCCAACCTGTGATCTTAGGGACAAATACATCCAGCTCCCCAGGGTCTTGAATATGTTTCTCTTTATTTCTATAGATGTTCCTGCTAAAATGTAACTTTCAGGTTGACTGAACAGGAAAGCATTAAACACACAGGGGAGCACCTTAGAGGAAACATATTATTTAGATTTTTTTTCTGGTTTGTTCAGACTGTTTTGGCATTGAGATAGATTTGATAACCCTAATGGATGATATTTAGCAGAGAAATAAGAGATCTTTGTATACCTTTGGATACACTGACCACAGTATTCTTTTAGAGTACTCGATAAATTAGAGATCAGAAGCTCAATTTTGTTGTGTGTCCTTTTACTCTCAGAAGAACCGTTTAAGGATCAAGGGTTGCCCTATACCAGGGGTAGGCATTCTTGTCTCTTTTATGACTCGTGGACTTCAACTCCCAGAATTCCTGAGCGAGGAATTCTGGGAGTTGAAGTCCACAAGTCATAAAAGAGCCAAGGTTGCCTACCCTGCCCTATACCAACTTTTGAATTCATTGAAAAAAAAGATGATAGGGCTCTTCTGTCTATAAGCTCATTTCTGAAGTGTTTTCCTTAATTTCTAGCAATTGGGAAATGTAATTGCTTGGAACCAAATTAATTTGACCTGCTATGAAAGCTCCATAAATAGATCACGAATTAATGATATTGTGCCAATATTTTTAGCAGATTTATGTGTGGATGAAGATTTTTTTTTTTAGGGGAGGGAATGAAGCACTATTTTTTTTAAAATGAGGATGTACCATGGTACTTTAGAAATTACGGCTATTTTTTAACAGAAAAAGCCACTCTGGGAAATATTAAAATGGAACTCCAACATCATGTCTAGTTTGACCTAAGATGGTGAGGGAAGCACAGTATGAGCTTCCAAAGGGTTCTTGAATCTTTCTGATGTTCTGTATAGGTCAAAGTTCAATAATATCATTGTGAGCAGCTTCTAGATAAGCCAAAGGGTTAGTAAAACTGTTGTTGGAATTAGTAATGGCACAAAAAGTGAACAGATGCATTCGCCTGCATTTTCTCTACTAGTTTCCTGAGTAAAATTCCTTCAAGAGTAGAATTTTGGAGACTACTGTACTTTATCTTTAACTTAGGCATATTTAGTGATGAGGTGGCCACAGGCTATGTCAATATCCTGCCTTTAAATTTTCCCCAATGGTCTGCTGTTACCCACATTTACATTAAATTTTGAAGGGAAAAGAAGACATTTTGAAGGAACTCTTCCAAGTCAGCTTTTCCGGAGAAGTATTACTACAATTTTCAAGGAAAATTTCTACCATTAAAAGCCCTTGAGGAAAGAAGAGAAGTAGAAAAGAAATTCAAAGCAGATCTTTCCCAGTTAATGGGTTTTTAATTGTTGTTTTGTTTTTGCTATGAAGACACACAAATTGCACGTGTTTCCTAAGAAATTTTGCTCCCTCAGGCGAAGGAGAATATGTTACCCCATCCCCTATTTTATAATAGCCAGTTGAAATTTAGTTCAGTAGTTCTAACATGTTGGCCGATATCTCCATTATGCTTGAGAAATCTGACTGCTTAGGGGAATAGGACAGACTGTCTGGAAAACACTGGAAAACTTAGAGAAAATAGCCAAATCATATTGATACCTGCTGTCAGGCCTAAGGAACTAAGAAAGACACAAGGAATTACTTTAGAGTAGGGTCTTTATTGTTGCTCACCTATAGACAGAAATCTTGCCAGACCAAAGCATTTATTTGCATAACTCCTAGATATACACTGTGAACTGTGAGGGGACGTCCCCCTTTGCCCCTTTCCTGCATACCAGAGATTCCAAGCTTCTCTGCCTGTTTGCTTCCTGGGAAAGATCCCCACTCTCTTGCGACTATGGATTACATTCCATCCATACCTGTGCCTCTTCTTCACAAGATGCTTGCCTTAGATTGTCTAATGTAGAGATGGGGAACGAATGTCCCCTTTATGACTCGTGGACTTCAACTCCCAGAATTCCTGAGCCAGCATGGCTGGGTCAGGAATTCTGAGAGTTGAAGTCAGTGGTGGGATTCAAATATGTGAACAACGGGTTCTCTGTGTGGATTCCACTTCTGGAAGTCCATTCTGGGCCTGGGCAACAAAAAATTAGCTACCAGTTCTGCCGGACTGGTGCTAACTGGCTGAATCCTGCCACTGGTTGAAGTCCACAAGTCATAAAAGGGCCATCGTTCCCCTC